TGCAGGTAGTAAAGCACAGGCTGATGAGTCCTTGAATGAGAACAAGGACTCTATGAGGGATTGGACTAGAGGCCATGGGTATTATATTCTACTGAAAATTTTGTCTTCATTTCTCGATGCCTTGAGACTTTGTTGGAGGGTGAGTTTAAGAGATACAGACTAATTGCTCTGGCACAGAAAAATTCAAGATAGTCCAGTGTTAAGGCTGTGGCATGAGTACTGCTGGCTACTATTAGCCAAATTTATAGCAAGAACCAAGAGCAAAAAAAGAGAGCAGAAAAATCTGAAAACCTTATTTTTTTCCCCCAAAAAGAACTACATGTAAATCTGGGGCTAAAGAAGGTGGGGTTTCTAAAAAGATTAGTGCCATTAAAAAGAAACCAAGTATTTTGAAGATGTCTTGAGTGCACCTTAGGAATTGATATGACCCACCCATCACAGGATCAGTGTAGAAAAGTACAAATATTTCATTTGAGAGGAGAGCTGCTTGCTGAGTTCCCCACACTAGAAGGGCCATTTAGGGAATTGGTTCCCTGTAATTCATTTCATAGTGCTCAACTATGAAGGCATTCAGAGGCTGCTACAGCCATGTTTCAAGAGGGCTTACCTACTACTTGAGCTAGTTGGCAGACTTTTGCATTCTGTATGCATGAAAAATAAGCATCTAATCAATAATGCTAGAGTTGTGGGGTCATGGAGACTTCCACCTAGATTTCAAGGAAGGCCTGAGAGCCCAGGCAATGTGCCCCTGAGAGAGGGTTCATGAAGCTGTGGGAATGAAGCTGTGGGGACCCTAGGAAGTCAGTGATGCTGGGAACATCTACCAAAGGAAGCTATATACAGGTTGTGAGCAAAGCCAACTCAAGAGAGAGGCCATGTGGCCTCCAACCAGTAAGGCCATAGGAGTCAGGATACCCAAATCATCAGGAAATCACATTTTATCATTATGTGCCCCATTATGTGCTGGACACAGAGGTGCAGGACTTGATGTTTGCCCTGCTGTGTTAGTCTTGCTTTGGTCCTATTTCTTTCTATCTCCTTGTTCATCCCTTTTGGGGTGAGAATCTTTACCTGGTGCCACTGTATATTGGGAATATATAACATGCTTTTTGAATTTGACAGGAGTTCAAAACTAAGAGTTTGCCTTGAGTCTCAGAGGAGACTTTGGGCTTGGACTTTTGAGCAATGCAGGAACTGTTAAGATTTAAGGAAGGGATTACTACATTTTAAATATAGAATAGTTGTCATGTTAGGTGGAATTAATTAGTCATTGTGTTTATTTGGAGATTAAGTATGGTTTAAGGAGATGTAACTAGGTGTCATGTTGAAAACAGATGGACTTATGTCATTTAATCTTAGTGTGAATTTCACTGGATTAAGACACTCAAGAGGTGATTGGGTCACAGAGGTGCTATACTTATGAGTAGATTAATCCACTTATGTTCATAGATGAATGTGTTATTGGAAAGTGGGTTTCAGTTGAAGGTGGATCACTATGTGTGTGCCTCTGGAGGGTATATCTCTTGCTGGCACTCATCCCTTGTGTACTGTTTCCTGGATACCATGAAGTGTTTAGCTTTGTTCCATCATACCCTTCTGCTATGGTATTTCTGTCTTGGAGCTAGCTGAACATGGACTGAAACATCTGAAACTGTAAGCCAAATTACATATCTCCTCTTTTAAGTTGTGGGTGTGGATACTGTGTCCCAGCAACAGGAAAGGTCACTAATACAGGTAGTAAGGAAAGTAATGAAAAAAGTTAGAAGAACAATGAAACAAAATAAGAGTGATTAAGTTTTTACCAGAGTCTGGTTTGAACTCATTAAGAACTTCACAGACATTCCCAGAAAGACTTGGCTGCATTGACATCTGGGAAATTGTGATGGTGTTAAGGAAGCGCTACCGTATAGATGGCTATTTGGATTTTAGGGATATAGGTAGCCTGAATCTATCTAGACTGTTGACACAATACTCCACTTTTCTTTGCATATGTAGACTCTGGCTTTGTGAAGGTATACAGAGTAGATAGAAAGCCTGGGCATTTTCAAATGGTGACTCTTGGATTTCCTCATGGATTCTTGCAGAATACATCGAAGATAAAATTTGTTTTGACATCCCTGATAGAATTCACAGCTGTTAATTTGCTTATGAGACCCAAAGAATAATGGTGACTTAATAATGAACTGAAACCAGAATCTAGTTATTGATCCTCCTAATTTACAGTCCCAAACTTCACTTCTCAAATGATTACTCTTCTCTTTCAATAGCAGTTCAAGTCCTAGAATTTATATTTCTATTAATTAGTAAATACTTAATGGTATTTATTATATACCATTAAGTATGCCATACATATTTTGGCTTTACCAAAAAGGTATCTGGTCTCTTACTGATGTTATAAGTCTAGGTTACATTTTGTATCCTGTATAAGTTCTAACTATGTACTATCTGATACATGGCAGGTATTCAAGAAAAATTTTTTGAAACATATCAACTATATACATGAAACAAATAGATCTATTCTTACATTCTTACCAGGAATCAGTCAAAAATCCTAGCCTCTAGTAATTAAGTAGTATTTGAAAGGGTTCTATGCCATACTATCACAAACTCTCATTTTCTTTTAGAATGATTCATAGGTTTAAATGAATTTCTATTTCATGTGGAAAGTAAATTATTATGTAAATTACTGGGGTTCATAGTAAAATCTCTACCTAAGATACCAAGGATAGCATTGTGTGTGAGTCTTAAAAGCCTTGAATAATGTTATCTTTCCTTGTTTTTCATAGGGACATCTATTGAGTATAATTTGAGTTTCTGTGTAATATTCATAAGCTACAATTATTAGTTTAGGCAAAGGAAAGCACATGGAGAGAAAAATAGCAAGAGAGAAGGTAGAGTTATAATACAGCATTAAGATATTATATTATTGCCCATGTGATACAGATAATATTGGCCCTTCAAAAATATTTAAAAAGCTATGAAAATTATTAGCTAACATCATCTAATGGTAGAAGATTGCATCTTTCCTCTTAAAAGTTAAGAGAAGACAAAGATGGCTGCTCTTGCCACATCTACCCAACATTTTATTGGAGGTTCTAGCCACGACAATTAAGCAAAAAAAAAAAAAAAGTCTTCTATATTGGAAGGAAAGAAGTAAAAATCTCTTCTTGCATATAACATAGTCATATATACTGGAAATCCTAAGGAATCCACTAAAAAACTATTAGAACTAATAAGTGGGTTCATAAAGGTAAGATATGACTGATATACAAATAAAAACACATGTCCACAATAATTACTCAACATTTGCAATGAACAGGCTAAACGTGAAGAAAATAATTCACATTGGAACCCAATCTTTCTCCATATACAAAAACTAATTCCAAATGGGTCAAACTCCTAAGTGCTATGAAACTTTTAGAAGAAAATACAACAAAAATTTTTATGACCTTTAGTTAGACAATGGTTTCTTAGCTATAACATCAAAACATTAACAAAAAGATAAGTTGGACTTCATCAAAATTAAAAACTTTTGTCAAAAGACAACTCAGAATGGGAGAAACTGTTTGAAAAGCATTTATGTGATAAGAAACTATCAGACTAATGAAGAACTTCTACAACTCTGCAACTGCAACAACAATGCCTACATTTAAAAATGGGCAAAGAATCTTAATAGAAATCCTCAAAGAAGATATACAAATGGCCAATAATACATGAAAAGATCCTTAACATCGTCATTAGGGAAATGAAAATCAAAACCACAGTGAGATGCCACTTCATGTCAACCAAGATGTTTGTAATTAAAAAGATACAGTATTCAATAACAAGAGCTGGTGAGGATGTAGAGAAACTGGAACCCCTCAAACACTATTAATGGAAATGTGAACTGGTGCAACCACTTTGGAAAACAGTATGCTAGTTCCTCAAAGTGTTAAGTATAGAGAGAGCTATCACATTGCTGAGGGGACCAGCAATTTCAGTCAGGTTATATACTGAGTGAAAATGAAAACACATGTCTACATAAAAATGTGTACACAAATGTTTATTGCAGCATTACCCATAATGGCTAAAGATTGAAAACAACACACATGTCCATCAACTGATGAATGAATATATTAAATGTCATATCCATACAGTGAAATATTATATGGCAGTAAAAAGAAATGAAATACTTATACATGCAAAATATAAACACAACTTGAAAATATGTCAAGTGGAATAAGTAGCTATAATATATAGCCATATACATTATATATATTATATAATTCTATTCATATGAAATATCTATAGGGACCCATAAAGACAGAAAGTAGATTAATGGTTGTTGTCCATGGCTGAGTAAGAGTGGAAGGTTGGAGAAAATGGAATGTGACTGCTAATTGATGCAGAATTTCTTTATGGAATTATGAAATAAGTTTAAACTGGCTGGTGATGGTTGCGCAGCTCTATAAATTTAAGTGGGTGATTTATATGCTATGTGAATTATATCTCATTAGGGTTATTAAGAAAAAGTTGTACATGAGTGGATGTTTCAATTTTGGTGATTTGTTAATTCTCTCCTTTTTTATGTCTGTCACAACAATCCATATATTCACTTAAATGATATATATGTATATTTCCATGACCACTGTCTTAACTTTATAATGTAAAACAGATAATATATTTTGATGACAGATACTTTTTATGAAATTCAACCTTTTAGAATGTCAATTTAAAAGAATAAAAAAATGAAAACACCTAAACTATATATTTTCTTTTTCATTGTAGTCATTACCTTGCTTTCATCAATACATCATTTATCCTGACCACTAGCATTTCCCCCAGTACTTAATATATTTATAATAAATCTAATCACAAATGACAGTACTTTCAGTGATACATTTATAACAGTGTTCTACTGTCTAATGAATCCATAATTTGCTACTGCAAGCCTAAATGTTAATCATTATTAACTCTATGGCCCCTGAGAGAACATAATGTTTCTATCAGATTGTACTTACCCCTTTTGAATCAATCACTCCAGGTTTTGCATTAAACTTTACTGTCTTCAATCGGGCACGTTCCTTCCTTTCCACCCTAGAAAAATTGGAAAATAAAGAGTCTATCACATGACAAAGTATTTATGATGAAATTCTTTATTAAGTGAAGAATACCTTTTTGTGTTATCCTTACAACTCAAAGAAAATATGTTCTAAAATATTTCTCTTCCTTTGTTCACTGTAAACTCTTTATACTCTAAGCTTCCATTATGTTCCTTGAAATTTTGTGTTATATATGCTGAAAGTCACAATATTTGGAAGGAACAAAGAGGAATAAAAAAATAATATTTGCTATTTAAATGCTTAAATAAATAAAAATCTGTTTCAATAAATCAGTCTGTAGGGATGAATACCCAAAATGGAGATTAAACAAGCTTTCCCTCTCCTTTCCTTTTTTCTCTTCTCCTTTCCTTCTTTTTCCTTATCTTTCCTTTAAGAACATTGGTATAGTTAACTTTATTTGATAACCAAATCTATATAATCTTGAATTTTCCTTCGAGAAATCTAATGTCTTTCTTCTCTCATTTCTGCAGATTTGTCATTTTACCTGTTACTCCATTCATTCTCTAACCACTTATTGAGTTCCTATTGTATGTCAAATGAGATACAATGGAACAAGGAAAATAGATTTTAAACGTACGACTGCAGCCGGGGATTTAGCTCAGTGGTTCCGGTGCTTGCCTCGCAAGCACAAGGTCCCTTCGATCCCCAGTACACACATACAAAAAAGTACGACTGCAATGAACTCATAGCAATGTGCTCTTGGCAAGAACAGAGATGTAAAGAAAAACTGATAATCCTCTACAGTAAGAATTCTAATGTCAACATAGGTGTACTTATCTCACTGAGAGAGTAAGAGGGGTGAAAAGCATTGGGATGGCCTCCTTGGAGGAGGTGTCAGTTGATCAGACTTTCAGGATGAGAAAAAGCTCGTAAGCAGGAGAGGTTGAGGAGGAATTCCAAGATGGGACGAACATGCCCGTGACCCGAGGATGTGAGCAAGCTGAAAGACTGTAGGATGCAGAGATGAGGCCAGCAAGGGAACATAAAGGCAATCAATCTACTTTCAGAGGTTGGGGTTTTCCTTGAGGAATCCTCAAGAGTTATTAGAGGGCATAAAGCAAGGAAGCAATAGAATCAAATTAATGTTTTAAATATATGAGCTTGGTGCATGTAGAAGACAGATTAGACAAGGAAAGGAACAGGAGGCCTATTTAGAAGCTGTTGACATAATCTGGGCAAGAAATGATGAAATATGATAATGAGGCAGAGGGGATGGAAAGCCTCAAAATAAAATTGGTAGGACTTGTGCCTGTTTGAAGCCCAGGATTCAAAGGAGTAAGACAAAACATTTCCTTGAGTTTTCTAATTCTTGCTAGGTGGATGATCTTTCCTTCCTCTAAGCCATAACAGCATTTAATTTTATCTTTATGTCAATATTATTTCTTGATTTCCTTTTAAAAATTTTTTCATTGCTTTTACAGTTTCTTTCTTCCTTGAGGCCAAGCCCATATATCACTCAGTATGAATTATAGCAAGTCCTAAATAATTGTTGAACAAAAATAATATACAATATGTTGTTTTAACATGACTTTTTGTTTAAATATGGTTAGCTTTGATTTCAAATTTTTCTTTCTATAGAAAGAGAAAAAACCCCAAATCTATAGAAACTTAATGGTTGATAAAGTCTTAGCTATTCATAGATCAATAATTAACAGCATTCTCCTTTCTGAGAACTCTTTTGTGTTTCCAACTGAAACACAGTGAAGATTCAGGTTTCTATAGTTACAGAGTGAAGTTTCAGAATATATTTCAGTATGAGAGTAGAATATTTGAGTGGAAACAGCTGAAAAAATTTCTTCAAATCTAACCTCAGATATTCAAGCAGTATGTTCCACTGAAGAGTTTCTACTTGCATTCAACACACAAACTTGGGAGGAGAGCAAGAAAGACTTCAGATAAGATGAACTGCCAAATGGAAAGATGCTTACTGAGAAAAGGTCTGGTCGGAGGTTTATCAGCTTGTCTCAGTTTTAATTCAAGTGCAAATATAATTCATATTCATCTCTTTGGAGTCTTCTAAAACTGGTGTTAGGGCCCCAATTTTATTCTATCTTCTTTGTATTAATTAGGGTAATGATGGGAACCAGTATTTTATTGGAGGCTGTCAAAATGACGATAGCACACAGAGAATACATAGTTATTTAATCTGAATATTCAAGTAAATTCTGTATAAATCCATAGAACTCACACAGGCCCCAAACATAATATAAGGCTGAATTCAGTATTCAAACCTAAGAATTATTTGGACAGAGTGTTCTGATCCCCTTCTTCCCTGTTTCTAAGTTTATTCTTTTCCACCCTCTTGAGAAATGTCTCTATTAGGCCAATGTTAGCAGTTTATCACATTTTAAGATCAGAAGATCTTAAAAGGTTTGCAAAGAATATTGTCAGACACTCAGATGTATAGATGTTAGCCTCCAAATTCAGAATAAATTTGCTTTGAACACTGAAATCAGCTGAACTCAATGCTCATTTGCAACATCACATCATACATATTGACTTGGTCTCTCTCAGCATAGCAGCAACCATGGTTGAGCTTTACCATCACAAAATCCAATTGCCTTTCCGTCTTTGAAAACCTCTTTTGTTGGTAGTAATGACTGTGGCTTCCATTTTCGTTCCTCACATACCTTAGCCCCTTCCCCTCTGCTAGCTCTTCCCCAGATGCATGCAGATAGTTCACTGCTGACCTGAGAGGTAAGGCTTGGAAATAGGGCCCTAAATAATGTGGTGTTCTTTACTCTGAAACCAAAATCTGAAAAAAGAAAAATAGCCATCATTTGTGTGTACACTAAGTTCCAGAAGCATTGTTAAGCATGTTACCTATTTTTATCTATAATTGATACAGTGGCTCAGAATTTGACATGGAGTTGGGCATGTAGTAGAACGTTTTTGAATCTTTCTTGAATGAATATATAAATGAACTCTCATGAAGGATTCTAGTTCTTTGACTAGATGTGAAAAATAAGGCTGAGAGAGTTTAAGTGACTTAGCAAACAGCCCATGTTTCCTATAAAAAGTTGTTCAACATTTTACAATCTTTTCTCTTGGTAAGAATCTACGTAACGATGTGGCATCACCATCTCTCATTGATTTACTGAGTAAGACTTCTTTGGCAGAAATAGATATCAAGGTTCAAAGGGCTTATGCTTAAGTGAATGGTAGGACCACCTGTACACATGGACCCAATTGCAGTGAGAACACTGCTGCATTTTCCTTCTCACACTCAGACTCAGGCAATTAATTAGATTGTTTAAGCAGAAACAATCCTCCCCGCCCTCGTCTTGTCACTGACCAAAATACTTAAAACATAAACTGGTGACAAAATTTGAGCAATCAATTCTGACATCTAGCATCTCCAGGTAGTACCAAATGGTAATGCTTTAATGAGCCCAACTGTCTCCCTCTCCCTTTTCCCCATTTCCCATCTGGTATTTTCAGGTTCCAGCCAACCACATACCTGGACCAGACTAGGAGCACTGGATAGTGGGAACATGATTTATCATGCACAGTTCTTTTGCCTGTGCTCTCCAGGCTCTGTTGGAGAAGTGAAATGCCATCCAAACCAGTGGCCACAGCTTGCTGTGGAGGCTGGGTGAGTAAACTCTTATGTGATACTAGAAACAGGCTGTCACCCTAAGCCTAGGAGACCAATCTCTGTGAGACAATGAATGGCTCAAAGACCTCAGGACAAATCCTGGTTTGACCACTCAGATTCTATGCTAAGGATTCAGACTGTGAAGTCACATAAACCTGGGTCTGAACCCTGCCTCTGCCACTTACTGGACTGTGACTTACTGTAGTCATTCACCCTTTTAGGTTCTCAGTTTTCATGCTGGTAAAATTAGAATAACAACATAGACTTTAAAAATTATGGTGAATGTTAAATGAGACAATACAAAAAATTGTTTAGCCAAGAATCTGACACATAGAATTCAGTACGTAGCAGGATACTGCTAAGATGTTTACAGTAATACCATCCACAAAGCCACTTGTCATCATACTCCCAATTTCCTTGCCTTGTAAAAGGCAGGTAATACAGGCACTCTGCCTCAGGTACTCACTGTCATGGGCAGCCTCTCCATGCCAACTAGAAAGGCATGGATTTCTCTCTTTCTCTCTGAGAGAATTCACAAATGTGGGCCACTGGATTTGAGAGCTATTGGGGTGAGAAAAACTCAGACTTGGGATTCTGCGGCATCTGTACAGCAAGAAGAACTTCACCAGATCTGATCCCTCATCCTTGGACTTCCCAGCCTCCAGACCATGAATTAAGTAAACGTCTTTACTTTATAAATTTCCACTCTGTGGCATTCAGTTGCAGGAAGGGAAAAAAGAGACTATAACATACAGTCAGTACTATTATCAGATGGAATTTATCCCTTGGTCTGTTTCCCTTTCACTTTCCTTAGTAACTTTATACAACCCTCATTTTCCTAGTCACAGAGTTCTATATAGAGTTACATGCTGGTCTCGAGAATGGTGGATGCTTAGCAGTGACCCTACAACAGCAACTGCACACAGACACTGCATGATGAATTGAAATCTGTACTCTTTTATTTTTATAACTTTGGGAGGCAGGGTTGCATATGAGTTAAGAGCAATTCTATAGTCTATATTCAAGTACCAGTTCTGCCACTTATTAGATGGGCAACTTCAGGCAAATTAATTGACCTCATAGGATATTAATAAAGTTTAGTAAATGTAAAGGATTTAAAACAGTATCTAGCATTTTGTGGAGTGTTTTATTAAATAAGTTTATTCACCATTTTGAAAAGAGGGAAAGATGATAATATTCATATTTATAGTTTCATTAGAATGATTAAATTAAGCCATCAGTAGAGAAACATTTTTGTAAAGGGTAAGGTCATACACTGATGTTATCCATTATGAGATATTTCCAGGAAGCTCTACTAAATAAACTATAATCATGAGACTGGTTAATTAGCAATCTTAAAAAAACCCAATCTAATAAACTTAGACTTTAAATTGGATTAAAATTAGTTCAAAAGGAGTCTTTGTGGGTAGGATGATAAGTAGTTTTTACTTCTTATACTTTTCTTAGGTTTCCCACTTTTCTATAATAAGGGTTATTACTTTTATAAAGACATAAAAAATTAAAACTAACTTCTTGAAATAACATCCTAAGGAGAAAATTTGACAAATTCATTTACAGGTATACATTTTACATAAAGACATATATTTAAATAAGTACTGTATATTTATTTTATAAAAACATTTTATATAAAACATATATTAGTGACGTAGAGCTACTATACCCATCATGAAACAAATGCAAACAAAAAATCAATATTGCAGACACTGAACAAACTTCTCTAAGTGAGCTATAGTATGATTGTTAAGATGGCTTCAGTCCAAAATATGAGAGGAATAGCCAATTAAAGAATAATCACCAGCAGGTGGAAAATTATTTCTAGAGGAATAGCACTGAAAATGTTCTTCAGAAGGTAAATGATGCATGTTAAACAAATGAGTGACACAACTGTTTAGAATTACAAAACCTCAGGGTTTCAAAGGGCCTAAAAATCATATGGCTGACCTTGCCTAAAGTTTGAATCCCTTTTCTATCTTCCTAAGTAGTCCATGCCATCTAGACAGTCCCACATAGAAGGAAGATTTCCTTAAAATGAGCTGAAATCCATTCCTGCAAGGGTTTCATTCCTACATCCCATCTCTACCCTGGGGGCTGTATTCAGCAACATGCTTCCTCCTTGCAGAGAAGAGCTCCTCAGGCAGCTGTGATCAATCAAAGCAAAGCAGCCCAACATCCATTTGTCTTGACTTTTAAAAAAAATTTTTTGGAATTTTTGGAAATGGACAAACAGAATATATACGAAGTATTGCTAGGAATCATTGCTTTGGACATACAACCTTTCAGAAAATACTACAAGCCATGGTACAAAGTTGACATGAAGCAGCATCAGGCCGGGCACCAGGAGAGCAGAGATGTAAAGAGTCCTGGTAAGAGATCCACGACCAGATGCACAGGACAGAAAGGCTGTCTGGAGGTCCAGCCACCGCACTGACTCCTCCCCATACAGGTAAGCGAGTGACTATGAAACAGTAGACCTGTTGCCCTCCCCACCACGGTCCTTGACTTTGTGGCCACAGGCAGAGAAAGATAAAGATCAGTCTTTTTCAGGGCACAAATGTCCCACAGAGTCATTCTGAGGGTGTGAGCTGTATTTTTTCTACTATGGTTTGTACTAGCTCAATCACTGACTCCCTTTGTGTGTGGCAGCACTTGAATACTCAGCTGCATAGAGAACTTTGCACAAAGGTATTTTCAGCTTTTCGATAAAAAGGATGAAAGCCCTTTGAGAAAAGGGCTCAAGAAAATTTGATGGCTACTTTCAACAAGCATCACCCCTCACTGATTTTGTATGTCTCTTTTCTAGGATACAGTCAGTTTCTGTTTTCTTTAACAATGTCTTGGTGCCAAAAGGACATTCACAGGGAAGGAAGTTCTTTGGGTGGTGATGAATAGAAGCTAAGAGACAGATATAGGAGTGAAGTATATTTCTGCCCCCAAAAGTAGAGCTGAAGAGAAAGAGCATCATGCCCTTGGATTTAGGAACCATTTACACAGCTATATATGTGAGTGACTACTGGGGACTGTGAGATGGGGAAGAGGACCAACTAAAACAGTAAAAAACTAAATAAAACAAAAAAACCCCCTAAAGAAACAGCTGGATAACCAGTCTTTGGATTTCATCAGGTTTTTGGCAGCTCATATCCCAAGCATATGAATTTTGGATGAGGGTTTTCAGTTTTGTTTCATCAATATATGAGATGTTAGATAGCCAGGTCCTTAGCTTAGTATGTTGTGTACTTTATTCAATTTCCACCTGGCCTTTCTGTAAAATTCATGTTGAGCTTTTAGAATACATACACTGAGTTTGTAAGTCAGCATACCGTTCAATAGCATAGCCTTGCATATGCAGATGCTGGGGAAAGTTTTAGGAAGATGGTATAAACAAATCCTTTTGTTTCTTGTGGCTTATCTCAGTCACCAATTTTGGTAAAATTCTAATATGAGGAGAATGAGAATTTTTTATTCATGTCACCTGTCACCACTGACAATTTCCCAGCAGATTGTCTGTCCCACTTACATAGTTATTTTGTGAACATTTTCCCCCAATTTTCTCTTCTCTCATTTCTGCTCCCCAGCTAGCTGAAGGGCAAAAACACAAAAACCACTCTTACCTCCGCTTGCTGGGGATGACGCCCATCTCCTCGCTGTCCCCCTCCAGCGTGACTCTCCTGGCTTGCCACCACTCATCATCAGAGGCATTGATAACATGGAGAATGTCTCCATATTTAAAGCTAAGTCCTTGACTTGGAAGCCCACTGTCCTTGCTCTTGTCATAGTCAAACATGGCTCTGAAAGAAATGTCACAAGAGGGCATGGTTAGAAATCTGTGACAGCACAGATGTACAATTTAGGGTTTTGAATTTTTACTCTTTCTCTGACAATCCATCATCTATTTGATATCAGGTCTAGGATGATGCTCTGGATTGCAGATTATATTCCCACTGTTTTGTCCTTAAACTGAGGTTAATTGCTGTATTTTCTTGCTGGTTGCAGTGGTGGCCCAGAGGTCCTTAAAACTGGGATCTGTGTTTCATCTTGGAGGGTATCAGATGTTAAAAGGTGTAATGGGAGATGAGAAAGTCATTTTTCTACCTGAGATCTTTTTTATTCTCATTACAATCAAATTTTCAAAATTACCAAAAAGAGAAATAGAGTGAAGAGAAACGTAGCTTTCTAATAAAGCATTCTGTGTGATAAGCAAATCCTCTCAGATGTATCAGCCTGTAGAACTCTTTCCTTTATAATGGAGTAAAGTGGTAGCAACAGGAAGTATCTATCACTAGGAGACTGATTCTTTCAGACAATGGAATATTGGAACATCCTGGATATTGGATAATTGAAGGGGTTAATGTAATAACCTGAGAAAATGCTTAAAGTGCAATGAATGAAAAAAGTATATATACATGTATGTATTAAGAGATCAAAATCATATGAACACCACCATAAATCTTTTTGTTTCCATATAATTCTTCCTGTGTCATGTTTCCCCCACTAGAGTTGTGGGAGAACCTTTGTAAGCCATTGTAAGTATGCAATTTGAATGACTGATGGGTTGCAGGAGTTGGAAGCCCAAAACAAAATGGTGAACAAGACCTTACTAACTAGCTGTTGTTTTAAGAAGGTGACAATTTATTGTAGGTCCTATGTTGCCTTCCCCCTGCAGTATCCTCCACTCTCAAAAACCACCATCACACACACAGTATATTATTTCCCAGGAGAAGCACATTTCACCATCTCCTTATTTCTTGATTCCATCCTATGCATTTCCTTGGAGTATAACCACTCACGCATGTGAAACAAGCTATATTTGGGGAATAGATTTTTCTAAAATCACCGAGGACCAAGTTTGGTTTTTTTCTTTCATCTTTTTTTTCTTCCATCAAAGAAATGTCACATCTGCTGTCATGGTAACCAAAAGAGCTGAAGACAGCATCCAACCCTCAATACTGCAGAAACTGAATTATAACACAGATACTTCTTCCATCCCCAGGTGATGAAATTTGTGGAGAGTTTTTTTCATTATAACACAGATATTCTTCCATCCCCAAGTGATGAAATTTGTGGAGAGTTTTTTTCATCTGAGCTTCCAGAATAAATTATTTCCACCTTGACCATCTGTATCTTTTCTCTCCAGGGCTCACACAATATCCAAACCAAGAAAAGGGAGCTGGAGCAGGCAGAACACTCCTGGTTCCATCACTTCTCTGGCTTTGTCATGACATCATTTAATTAACATTACTGAACCACTAGTTTTTGATACAAAATTGATCTAAGAACTACATTCACATGGAGCTACTGTAAGCATGAATCAAATAACACAAGCAGCCCCCTGCCATGGGAAGGGAGGTAGCAGCCAGTAGTATAGAAGTTAGAAATATAGACTCAGGGGCCATGCTACTGGGCCATGTCCTACTCCTATCCATGACTCACATGCAGCTAATTAATTTCTATTAGGCTTCAGTTTCCTTGTGTATAACAGAGTAATGATGGTGATGATAACAGTACTTCCAGTACAGAGTTGTTTTGTGATTACACAGCGCAGTAAGGCATTTACAGCAGTGCCTGGTACACAGTGACAAACGGTAACTATGAATTGCATTTCCTGCTTGAGGGGACAATAACCCATTTTACAGATTCCACTTTGTGAAGAAAAAAGAAGCAAAAAGAATATACCACACCTCTGACTGCTAGCTTCAAAAAGGCCTGTTTGTACAGGTGGCCTTTGGGAACCTAAATCTTCTGAGTTCTTGAAAGAATAGCTTGTGTGCCTCAACTGTATTTCCTGCTTTCCTTTTGGGAGTTTGCAATTGTGGTATGTTCTAGGGATAAGGTACCTATCTGACTGGCTTCAGTGAAAAGCCTTCATACTGAGTCTCTAATGAGCTTCCCTGGTAGAAATTTTGCTCCTGCTATTATAATTTGTTCTTAGAGGCATTGGGCACAGCCCATGTTCTTCCACTGAGGGGACTCTTGAAAATTTATACCTTGTTTCCGGCAGACTCTGTACTACAGTCCTCTCCCTTTGCTGATTTTACTTGGTATCCTCTTGCTGTAATAAATGATACTCCTGAGCCTGGCTATGCTGAGTCCTGTGGAACCTTGCAGAGAATCATTAACCCTGTGTTTTGGGGTGTCTGACACATTCTTGTGACTCATTCCTGTGAAGAATATGATAGGATGATCCCCCTTTTATAGAACTGGGAGCCCCACTGACCAGCCCCAGGACAAATGGCTTGAAGTCAGCAACCAAGTTTGGGCCTCCTGACCTACATTCTAGTGCAGGGGTTTTGACCTTATTCTCTATTCAGCCTTGGGGAAGGTAGTAATGGCAATGAAGTGGTGAGGATGCTGACCATGATGACTGCAAGTACTGATCTTTTGGGCAGCTTGGCCCTATGTAGTCCTTGTCTTTTTTCTGTATTGATGTCAATAACAATCTTAAAAGTAAAAAAGTAGTATCCCCTTCTCATTGAGAAAGAGGTTGCAGGAAGTTAAGGGACCTGCCTAGGTTACATGAATACATCTGGGGAGACAATAAATCTACATAATGGCTATTTTATTACATTACTCAATTTCCCAGCCTTTGTCTTCTGGCCATACTCATGGCCTAGCAGTAGGAAGGACCTTAAATCTTACCCTCAGTGCTGACAACTTTGAATTTGTGAAATTCCCTTATTGCTTAATTGTCCCAGTATTTATTCTGTCTGTGTTTGAACGGCTTGCCTGGTTCCAGGCACCTGGGTGTAAAGTGTGAGCAGTGGAGAGCGAGAAGCCATCAGGACAGATAGAATGTGGCAGCTAAGAAGGCAGGCTCAGGGGGCGGGGATTTAGCTCAGCGGTTTTGCTGCCTGCCGCGCAAGCACAAGGACCGGAGTTCGATCCCCAGT